CCACTTCCTTGTTGCCTGCTTAGACTCTTGGCACTCTTAGGTGAGCAGACTTAGTCAGCCTGTGTTGCCCTAACACCATTTGACTTGCATTTGCAATGACAATCAACAAGGCTCAAGGACAGTCAGTCACAAATGTTGGTTTGGACTTATGCATTCCTGTTTTCTCACATGGCCAATTATATGTTGCACTTTCACATTATACATCACCTTCTGCAATTAGAATACTCTTACCACCTCAAGAACCCAACTGTAGAGATGCATAGAGTCACTCAAAATGTTGTATATCCCAAAGTTCTTTCCAATATTTCTTAGATACCCCTTTTCTATTTTTGTTTCTCCTGCAATTTCCTATTATGATTGAAATGTAGATACAACAAATGTACCAAAAAAATATTCTGAGGCAATACATAGGGACTTTCACATAAATATGCTGAGCAAAGCGAGTCAGGTTAACTCATTCCATAATTCTGGCGACTTTGCCTCCGAATAGGGGTCATCTGAGGAATTAACTCCGGATGTACTGACGCGTCGTACACACGCGCGCCCTGGGCACCTTCACAGTTCCCCATTAATATTGTTCATCTCATGTGGTCCACTGTCCAGCACTCTTCTCGGACACACAAAAGCAATTGAACACTCATTTAGGGACGTATTGCTATTCTAAACGCCCTTGAACTGGACGACATTGGCGTATTGTGCTTGCCGGAGGTTACGTGGCGTCAGAAGTCATCTTCTGTGCCGCCGTAACCTTTTTGTTGTTTCCAGGTCAGGGGCGCACCAGACAAAAGGCGGGGGCCAGCGGACCAACGGATATAAATACATCGAAGGATGGTGGGTGGTCTCTGTGCTTACCGCTCTCACTTCCCTCGACATGGCTCACAATCCACAGACCCCCCCCTCGTAAAAGCAGCGCCCCTTCACAGGCACCTAGTACCACACCGGGCAAGGCGAAGGCCACATCGACGCGCAAATTCAACACCTCCGACCTTGCAGGCAAGCGAAATGTTATTTTTGAATCGACCTATCTGCTCTGTATTCCGAACGAACGCATGGAGGCGATCTTACCCCTGCCTCCATGGGTTGCAAGACTCGTAGAGCAGCTGCCGGACAGCCATCCATTTCTCACCGGTAAGGAGTGGGATGACCTTCCACACCTAGTCACGAAAGTTAAAGCATCGACGCTTGTGGGCAAGGAAGATGATGTTTTCCAAGCTTACGGTGCTCTTCACAAGGCCATCGTCGAGAATTGCGGGCTGCCCCCGGGAAACACCCAGGCGCGACCTCTTCTGCTTCGACCGACACGTACACCCAAGTCCACCGCGAAGGAGAATTCGAGCAGACCAGATGGAACGAATCCAAAGGATAACTCTCTCATTATCGACTGGAAGAAGGACCGTTACAGGTGGGCCGATCTCTTTTTGGCGTACGAGTTCAAGAGAGCGAACAAGAAGGATCTGGATGGTCGCATGGGTGTCACGGTGAGCCGAAATTGTGTGTTCATAGTTTTTGTAGCGTCTAACATACTGTCGAGAACACCAAGCAAGTAATCTGGGACCTGCAACATATGTTGTGGGAGAATATCGATCGTCGGTTCGCGGTCGGTATGACAATAGAGGAGACAGAGGCGCGTCTGTGGGTGGCGACTCGCTCCGCGATGCTCGTTAGCATGGATATCACAGATCTGGAGAAGGCCAAGAGGGTGGCAATCAAAGACGTTTGGCGGGACGAGCATCGAGAGCCTGAACGGAAGATCTACGATCGGGTAATGAAGGCAATCAAGGACATCGAGAAGAGAAGTCCCGCAGAATTGAAACTCCCCTCCGGTGAAAAGGTGAGAACTATTTCGTCAACATTAGTGGCGATGACGAAGTGACGATCCTCAATCATGGCCCTGATGATACAGCAAGAATCATGGCTGGCAGAGAGCTGCCGGAAGGAACGTGTTGGATCAAGACGGATCTCATTGTGCAGACTGGAACGGACGACAGGTCGGGTGCACTGGATTGCCTGAGTGCCCAAAACTCCGAAGCGGTCCTTGGCCGAAAGAAACTGTTGCAGAAAGGGACGACCAAGCCGGTTGTGCCCATTTCGCCCTTTCTGCCCGAGATTCACCACCGTGTCCATTATCGAACCGTGATGGACAACATTGGGGAACCTTTACATCACATTGAGAGGTTAGATGTCGCATTCAATGCGCTGGCCGATGTCGTTCAGGGTTGGTGTCGTCTTCGCAGAATTTCTTTGTCTGGGGTTGACAAGCTTTGCAGCGTGCAAAATGATGTGCATTGCCGGATTCAATCATCGGGATCTTTCGCCAGGCAATATCATCGTCGACAAAAAGGAGGGGCGAGGGCGACTTAGTGATCTGGAATTTGCCAAGGATCACATGAGTGACCTACCCGGTCACCACGCTGTATGCTACCTTCCCGCTCCGTTTATACAAAAGACTTGCTAATCAATGCACGTACCAGGGAACGCCTGACTTTATGGCAGTGGAGCTGATCGAAAACGCATACGGATTCCGCGGGCGGCCACCAAGAACTGTTGGCGCGATTCGGCAGCTGAACCAGACTATTCCTCTGCGACATAACGCCGGACATGACCTCGAGTCAATATTGTGGATCGCCATCTTCCTGTTGTATAATTCCCTGGTGCTTGATCATGACATGTCAATCGAGCGATCGGGAGACGATACATTGTTTGTCAAGGCCAGCCAGCAAAGGCAATATCGGGACGAGCTCTTCGACCCTTCACGTCGAACTCGGATCTTCATGGGCGACACAAACCTCTACGACACAATGTTGGGGCATTTCAGTAGTCCCAGTGTCCAAATATGTGGAGACATCGGACATGTGGAGACAATGCAGTTCAAGCTGAAAGCTACGTATAGAGTGTTTGAAACAGTTCTAAGCGAACAGGAACGCGGGCAGACACGGAATGCGGTCTTCCTTTCGGCACACAACAAATTTGAAGGATGTTTGAGAACCATCAGCGATCTTTTCAACGGGGAGAAGTGCAAAAGAGTGGATGACATTCTATGGGCGAAGCGGCACAGCCAAGACTAGTGAGGGCAAGTAACCAGCAAGACACGTCTGGTTAAAGTGGTTTCCGGTACACTTTAACAGCATTGTACGATTCTTCATGTACACCAAATGGTGATGTATCCAATAACCACGCCGTGCCCATACACAACGTCCTTGAACTGGATTCGAGGACCAGTCGTGTCGTCACATGTCGAGAACACCGCATTGTACCTTTCTTTGGGGGGACTAGGAAGGCTGCTGAATGAGACATGCAAGTTCCATGCCCGAGACCGGGAGCCCCACGGCCATTGCCGGAGCAGTTCCACGACAGGCAGGAGGCGCAACCTGGAAAGGAACGGATACGCGCCCAGCGCACCAGCTAGCTCGGCAAGGAGCACAAGCAGGAGCGACCGGGAATGCAAGTACCCTGAGTGGCAAGACGACAAGTGAGAGCATGGACCTGAGCATGCGCGCTCCCATGAAACACGAAAAGCAGGGCGGAGACTAGCGCCAAGAGTAGCCAAAACGAAGATATGGCGCGCATGGTCACACGATCGCCTTCACAGGGCAAGCAGCGTCAGCACGACGATCGCAGCGCTCGTATGCTCGCGGTCACAATTGAACACAAGCAGGAATATGCGCAGGAACGTAGAGATGAACGTCAGGACGAACGCAAGGGTTACCGTGTAGGTGCAGGCAGATGAGTGCATGTGCACGGACAGGAACCGAGCGGCATATCAAGTGTACGCGGCCGTCGGCTTCGTCGTCTTTGTCCACTTCCATGGGTGCTCGGTGGTAGGTGCAAGGGGATAGACATACACCGAATTGATACGTGTGGATACGATGTCCTGGGTAGATGATGATGTTGCGGGTTAGACAAGGAGGACAGAGCTTGTTTCCACTTGGCGATCCCAGCCCATCCGACATCAATACTGGCACCTACCCAGCAAACCGATAGCAGCTCCGGTAAAGTAAGATGAGAGCAGTCGATAAATACAACCATAGCTTGTCATTTATGCACAGCTGATACCTACAAAGTATCAGCGGTATGGATGCAGCGGTATGAGGTATACATAGGCCCGATCTGACCTCCGATCACTCTGTACCCATGGCATTCCCCTGCTCGACACTCCCATCCCCACTGTCTCTCCCGTACCGCCCAGTCTTCCTATATCCCTCAACAGCCTTCCTGTACTCTCCCAACCCCCAGTGGCCGTCCTCCCTAACCCGCTCTATCGTGCTCCTCACCCATTCCCTCACCACTTCATCCCGTATACAATGTCTCCAATACCCATCCATGCTTCTGACCAGCCTCGCGCTGCGGAGGCGGGGTTGTGAATGGTCGTCGGAGGTGGAAGGATGCTGGAGTGCGAGGACGAAGAGGAGGAAGGAGGGGACGTAGTGTGGGTGTGATAGCTCGTGCAGGCATTTGAGCATGCGGGTAATACCTGTGCATCCCCCTGCGTAAGTTACAATAAGCCGGGAGAAGACATGAACCGCGCTCACGCAGGTAGTTGTGCATGCGGTGCTCGAGGTTGTAGAACCTTGCGGGCCAGCCGGCGTCGGACTTTTCAGGCTCGAGGGTGATGTCCAGCTCGCCTGTCTCCGGATCTAGAACGCGCATCCCGTAGAACTCGAGCATGATCTCTGACTGGCGTGTGAGTATTTCGCAAGAAAGGAAAAGAGTAATGAGGAAGGAGCATATATGCGTACCGTATGACACTCTGAGCCTGCGCATGATCTCCTCACTCTGTTTCATCCTCCCAATCTCATGTACCTGCAGGGGTGTCGCGTTTGGATTCATCCCCTGTTCCCTTATAGGAAACATCCACTGGACGAAATTGTGTCTCCACTCGAGCTCATCCCAGTCTCCCCTCAGTTCCTGGTGCATGGCCATTACGCCATGTTTGGATGAGCTGGGTGCGGTGTAAAAGCTGTAGTTGGGAGATTGTGAGGGAGATGTGCGGAGTTGAGAAGGGTATGAGGCGATGAAGTCTTTTATATCTCGTGGGAGGATGGCAGAAGGAGAGAGCAGGACCATTTCTATGGGTTAATAATGTGCACCGATGCGCTGATCGTAACATTAATCGAAAGACACAGCAAAGTAAAGCAACAATGCATACATTAATATTTGTGACGTGTCGCACAGTGCACGTTGAGAGAAGATCCTAACAAGTGGATTGACCGCGTGTTCGACGGCTCCGTTGACTGTAACAGTCTCCTTCCAACATCACTGGCTCCCGTCAACATTAGGGGGTTGTGCTCCGTGTTTGGGTTCCGGAAAACGTGCCGCCTCCTGTAGATGGAAAGGATAAGAGGCAAGCTTCCACCGCACAACCCTCCTAAGTCGACTATCCTACGCGCTGGGACTCCATGGATATCAAAACTAATTTGTGTTACGCTCAAGCGCATACTCATTCCGACAACATCACAATTGTGTACCCCATCTAACTTTTATCATATGCTTTTGTTTCGAAATCTTATCCTTGCTCTTACTTTCACTGTGGGCATCCCCCTCGCCGTTTCTGCCATCCCCCTCCCCGCTGATAGGGCTGGCATGGGGTCTCTATCCCTGCGGGATCTCGACTCCTCGGCATGGAACAATGGCGCCCTTGATAGCGTTTTGGAAGAACGCTTTTTTCAGAAGATCAAGCAATTCGTCATGGACGGTATTAACATGGTGAAGAAAGAATCCGGCGCGACCAACGTTAAAAAGAAGCCAGAGAAGTCAGACATCGAGGTGTGTACCTTCTGCGGGAAGCAGAGAGCGAACATTGAAGAGGATTAGGTGGAAGATTCCGTTAGGTGCGCCGTGGACGAGTGTGGCAAGGGCCGAGTGGGCATTGTTAACCATGTGCCATACTGGCCTGACGGTAACCCCCCCCCCCCCCCCCCCCCCCCGC